GACTTCCCATAAATTGTCTAACACAGGTGACCGGGCAAAGCTGTTACCCTGTGTATAAAGCAGGGGCACCTCCAGCCCCGAGCTCCCCCCTCCAAGGTGGGGGCCCAAATTTAGGGCCATCTAAATTCCTGCCGTCTCTCCTCTCCATTGACCGGTGAATGGTGGAAGCACATCAAGAGGATCAGGACCTTCGGCTTGGGTGTTGGGTGCTCTCCTGGGAGGTGATGGGGTGGGTTTATGGCAGACTTGGTGTCCAAGGGTCACCTAGCAGCTCAGTCCTCCTCTCATCTGCCCCCTTCCCCTCCTCTTGCCCTAGCCCAGCGCTGTGTGGGGCCTTCACTCTTTGCTCTCCTCATCCTCCAAGTGCATGGAGCAGCACGCGGCCCCTTACCCATGGACATGCATATCATTGCAACCCCCCATTTCCCTGCTATTTCCAGACATCTGGGCTTAGGCCTCACACCCTGCTGCCCTTCCTCCTTCCCAGCTTGCACCTGCCGTCGCACAGATTACTTCTCAGCTGCTTTCCAGCTGAAAGACGGCTGGGACGTCTCTGCCTGCCCGTGCCAGACACAAGCTGCCTCCGCCGGGGTGCCCGAAAAAATATGCAGCACCAGGGTTTCCTTGCAAATGCAATGGGCAAATGCAACTGGGCAAAGCCCAATAGCCCCATCCGAAATTCGACTGAGCAGAGCTCCATCCTCAAGTCTGCCTGGCTCAACCACCAGGCAATTATCCTGCCTCCCAGACCCGACGCTCCCTTCTGCTGCCCTTCTTGCAGCTGGCAGGCGAGGCTCGTTGGGTAGATGCGGTATCTTTTATTAGACCGATTGAGGAGTTGGAAAAACGGTCTTTGCAAATTTTTGGGTGCAATCGCCCTTTTTCGGGCAGGTACCTGGTGAATCAGGTGTCAAGCATCTTCCTGCAGCTGGGGCTCCCCTGAAGGCTTTTTTCTTCCTGGCAGGGGAAAACCTGGAATGACTCATATGGATTTGGAATTAAGTTGGCTGATTTGGCTTGGGGCATGAACATTTTTCCTTTAAAAAAGAAACGAATCTGCTTCTCCTCCATGCTGTGGAGCAGAGAGGAGAAGAATCCAGTCTGCCGGGGGGCTGGCAGGGCATCTCTCCTGGGGGCACGGCCACCTGGAGCATGCTATTCCTTCCTCCTCTGCCCCGGCCCCTGCCATGCAAGCCTTACATGACACCCCAAAACCGCAGCACCCTGCTATCCCTATTGTACATCAACAGGACACAGACATTGACCCTTATTTTCAGGTTCGGTTTGAGGAAAACCAGCTGGGTTTTTCTTGACTGTCTCTTGATAACCTGAAATAAAGTCCTTGCCCTGCTGCAGCCCTTGCCAAAGTCCCTGAAAGCAGAATAAAACAAACAAAGGAAGGAACCAGAGGGGGAAACGCATTGAAAACTAGCAAAAGAAAAATTGCACGGGAAATCATCCGGACCAGGTATTTTAATCGCATGCACCAACATGCCACAAGTACCAAAGTCGGGACTGTCGGGGGTTAATGGCAGCTGCCTGACCCCATTTATATTTCAGTGGGATTTTGATGGTGGTTTTTGGAGTGAGAAAAGAGCAGGGCTCCTCATCTGAACAATACCCAAAAGCACAGGGGAAGTTGTAAATCACCGGAAAGCCGGGAGAGGCCGGAGCAAGGGATGGCTGCATAACTGGGGGCGGGGGAAGCCGTGGAAGAAGGAGCAGGCCAGGCTGTAGATAAAGCAGGGCCTCCCTCCCTTGCAATGCACGGGCTCAGATAACCGCCCAGTGCCTGGCTCTGCACGTGAAAAAGGTTGCATTGACCTGCCGAGTAAACCACAGGCAGCGTGTTGGAGGTGGAATTATATATAGATATTTATTTTTATATATAGAAATAAATATTTTTGGAAAAAAAAACAAAGAAAGAAAGAAAGAAAAAAAAAAGTTTGCAGGGATCTTTTCAGTGGCAAGGATCGGACGAGCCACGGGACATCCCTGTGCTCCTGTGAAGGGCGAAACCTCCCATCCCAGGCGGCTTGGAGTGAGACTGGAGTCAACCCATGAGCTCCGCCATGGGGCAAAACCCAGCTTGGGTGGGGGAAAAGGGGCAGCATGGAGAGGCTTTTGTCCTAAGTGGGGAACAAGCCAAGAGCAACTTATCATTTTTCTTTTTGGGATGGTTTCTATCAAAACCAGTTGCCCCAGCAGAACCGCCGAGCTCGGGGGTATCCCAGGCCGGCCCCCACCCGCCAGCCGGACCGCTCCCCGGTTCCCTTCTCTGCCCCAGACCCATGGATGCGGGAAGGAGCATACTTGCCCCAAGGCAGGGCCACACAGACTGGATGCAGCCCAATTTTGCATCGGGGCTTCCACCGATCGACCGATCGATCCCAGGGCTGGAAGGGATCCGAGGGTCACCGCGCCTGGGGTGCAATACATGGGGCTCGTCTGGCCAGTGCAAAGCCCTGAGCTCACTGCTCCCTGGCCCGACATAAGGGATAGATTTGTTCCGCTAACGTGCGCCGGTTTTGCATGGGGGCCCTGCAGTTTCTCATCTATCTCATTACCAATACCACATCTCTATTTCCTGGAGGGGAGGCAGGGCCGGTGCCCCAGTTTCTATCCTAACGGAAGGGCGGTGGGGTGGGGGAGGTCTGAGTTGGCAATAGCTCAAGAATGTGATTCATGCAATTGCCTTGGATTTGTGCAATGGAAGAGCTGCCTTGTTCCAGCAAAGCACGCTGCATTTGGCATTTGCTCCAATTCCTGGACACGGGTGTCAGACAGGAGAAACAAAACAAGCCCCTTTGCATTCCCTGCCCTCCTGACTGCTTTTGAAAGCGGTTTAAAGCATAAGGAAATAAAAAAAACCAGCCATTCACGTGGGCAGACCCCCCCACTACATCACCCTGAAGTCCCCTCCCACAAGCCATCCTGGCTTTGCAGGCTCTGCTTTCAAGAAGCTGCCACCCAGACTCTCCCCAGGAGCAGCTGCTGTATCTGATCTGTTGAAGGCTTAGCAAAGATGAAGGCTTTCCTCTTTGCCCTGCTGGCTGCAGTCCTGTGTGTGGAGCCAGGTGAGACTCTCAAAGCCATTTCTCTGGGCCAGACAAAGAAAATGCAGAAGGGGAAGCAGAGCTGGGGGAAGCAGCTAGACATGGCAGGGATTCAGGGAGGCTTTTCAGCATCAGCGGTCGGTGGCAGGCGGTGGCTTGGCTGGGTGAAAGGATGGCTCCCTTCTCCGCTGGGCTGCATTTGGGGAAGGGGATAAAAGCAGCCGTGATGAGGCACAGGGAGGGATTCGCCTTCCCTGGGATCAGATTTGGGTCTCCTGTTCAGTCCATCAGCTGCATGATCTCAGGGCAGGGACGGGAGGGGAATTGTAGCTAGCCTCAAAGTCCTGCCCAGACAACTCCTAGGTACAGACATGCAAAAAGCCCCAGGCAAAATTGATCTAAGTTATGTGGGTTTTTTTGTAGTTTAGTGAGCATGCAATCACCCTTTGGAGGGGCGGGTGCTGCAAATTTTGGCCTGGGCTCTGCCATTTTTAAGCCAGTCTGCATGTACTGAACTTCTGTTACACATATAAAGCAGGGTCTGGTTACTTCTAATGTCTGCATAAAGCGCTCTTATATGCCCTCCGACGACTGGGACCCATAACGTGGGGGAGCCGTGCTTCTCAGCATCCTTTTCCTTGCAGCTGCTTTTGGCCTGTCTCATCCATTAAAGAAGCTGGCATTTGAATCTGCTCTCGGGGTAGCAGAGTCCATGGGGAATAAAGGCATTGCATCTAATTAAGTTGCAGCACTGAATGCAGAAGGAGGCTTGGATCGGGCATCGTGCTTTTCTCGAGGCGATTGAGTCTGGTGGGGTCCCGCTAGTTGATTCCCAGGCAGTAATAGTCCTGGGGGTGTCTCAGCCTGGAAGAGGAGGTCTCCAAAGAGAAAAAGCAGCTGTGAAATGGGCTTTGGTTGGATGCAAAGCCTAAAAAGAACAGGCTCGGGCTGTTAACTAGCGAGCGGTCAACTCAGCAAGGTCCCACCGTGCACTTCCTTGCTAGTGGGACTAGTTTCTCCTTTGATGCATTATGTGAGTCAACCCAAGACCAGGAAAACAAGGAAATTAATTCACTTTCAACCATTTGGGCTTGGATGCAGGAAACGGGGATCCTGGCCACTCCGGGATAGATGGACCTTGGTCTGACCCTGTATGGCAACTTGAATGCTCCCAAGACATGGCCAAGTCCCTGGGGTCTGTAGCCAGAAGCAGCCATGCAGCTTCACAGAAGTCTCCGTTTGTTCTAGATTTTAGTTTTTAGCATCATATCTAACTGCGTCACACTTTCTGCCGATTCAGGACAAGGGATTTGGCACGTCCCAGTTTTATTTGGTAAAACTCAGCCCACGGCAAGAGTTATTGCACTACGTGCTGCACTTCTGGGATCAGGCAAAGATGGGTGGTTATGGATGCAATGGGAATATCCCTTTGCCCCCCCAGGTACCCTCCTTCTTTAGCTAGCTGTTTGCCCACCTGTTGCACAGGGGTTTTGAGCTTGCTTTAGGTGGTGGATGAGCTAAATTGCTGGTGGCTAGAGGTGGTTTGGGCAGAAAGTCTCATCTGACGGGCAGCGCTGCAACTTTGCTTCTCTGAGCTTGGAAGGAGGCTTTCCAAGGCTTCACGCCATGCCCTGATCTTTGCAGACCAGACCTTCCCCTCCACCCCCACAGTTTTGCTGATGTCTTAAAACTTTCCACTGCAACATCTAACTCTTCAGGCTTTCCAGCTCAGATATCTCCCCTTTGCAGAAGGCTCCGTTATCTGCTCTCTGCAAACCGTTCCTCCCTTTTGCTTGGGATGTTTCTCTTCTGTTTTATTCTTCCAGTATCTGCTGTCCCCCCCCCTTCCCTTAAATAATTCTTCCCTCTCCTTCAGGTTTTTTATTTAGAGGCGTTGATCATGGGCCCTTTGTTTCCTTCTCTCTTGTCTGAGCGCCAAGGATCATGCTTTGTTATGGGGATTACAAGAGCAGGAAGAAGCCACAAGTATGATTCAGGGCTGCACCGTGCCAGGCACGGTACATGCCCATTCAGAGCCGATCCGCATCTCATTGTGTTTACGGACTCAGTTGAGACATGCGACTTAAGTGATGCAACAGTCATTAAACAGGGACGGGCTGGGGATGCTATGCTGGGAACATGGATGGTACCTGGGCTAGTTAAACAATTACAAGTCAAATCACCCTTAAAAAAAGGTGTGCGCTCTTTCCTGCTCTGCCACAGACTGCCTCTGTGACCTGGGGCAAGTCACTTATTTCCCTCCGTGTCTCTGTGCCCCGTCTGTAAAATATATCAGGGATGCAGGGAGGAAAAACACATGATTAAGGACAGTGAAAGTTGTGGGCTACCAAGCTAAGAGGCAAGCTGGCATAGGGAGCTTGATTATCCGTGACCACGTATGTACCCAGCTTGCCTGTCAGATCACTGAGTCTGCGACACCCACTTAAACATACAGGCTGAAGACCCAGACCGACCAGCATCATTCGGGGCAATTAACCGGGAATCTCATTTGTGCTGGATCCCCTTTCAGAGTCATCGAGCCATTTATCCGGTGCCTGCCAGTAGGCCTCTGGGCATGGCTGATTCAGTAAGGTACCTAGGTTGTAGCCGTATTGGTCTCTAGGAAAAAACAATCAGGACTCATGGTAGAGGCGATATCTTTTATTAGACCACTGAGATTTTTGCAAAACAAAACAAAAAAAATTGCAAGAATTTTTTTTTGTTGCAAAAAACGTAGTTGGTCTAATAAAAGATATCGCCTCCACCACCAGTCCTGATTGATGCAGTAAGGGGCGCTCCATCAGTGTCCGTGGGTTTTGAGTCAGGCCAGCGGCTCTCTTACCCTGCAATGCCCGTGGTACCTAAAAGTGCTTTGCAAACCCGCTGAGAAACCAGTCCTTGCAGCCAGGAGCAGCAATCAGACAATGAAAGATGTGACTGCATCTGCTGGATAGGAAGTTGTGGGGGTGGAAGTTATTGAACAGCCAGTCTCAGCTGGTTCTACCTGCATTCCTTCCCAGAACTCCTGCTAATTGGGTTTAATTATTTCTTCACCTTGTTTATCTGCCCTGACCTCAAGTAGCCTCCTGAATATCACTGCATCAGTCACAGCTGCGTTTCTTCTCGTTGTTTTTAAAATTTCCGCCCAAATCATCAATGCCTTTAAGATATAAAACTATCTTATTTATCTCGTGTTTATTATTATTATTGCCAGGTCGCCCCTAGCAGGTCCAGGCCTGAGCAAGGACTCTGCTGTGCTCGGCGCTGTACAAACACAGAACAAAAGGACAGTGCCTTGCCTAATGTTTATGCTCAGCAATAAAAATAGGGGACGACTCTATAAGTGATAGCCAGAAGCCCCGATGCAGTTGTGTCCTTATGGCCGTATATATTTAAAAGATGGATCCTATCAGGACTGCACGGCCCCGTCTACCATCGTGTCTCTCCCTGAGCCCCACTAAAATCTCACCCTCATTTTCATCCGACCTGCAAAAAGCAGAGCTCATCCTTCCTGGCTCAGGCGTGGGGGGCACATCTCTTGGAGGTGACAGTGGCGACGTGGGCACGGAGAACGGGGTAGTCAGAGGTGACCGAGGGATCTTACACCCCAGCTTTAGGCCTGTACAGTTCAAGCTATACATGTAAAAACAGATAACCAGTTTGACTCAGATCTGGCGATGGACAAGCCCAGTTACCCCACATTAAATACCTGTTGAAGTATCCAGATGGCCTCATGTGTGAACACCTGTCCCTATTTTGATGCGAGTCAAATCTCAGACTCATCAGGCCCGGATTAAACTGGTTGTCTGTTTTTAGCCTTAAAAAAACACTTTTTGCTGTAATTTGGAGACATTTCCAGTTGCATTATCACACCGTAGGGCAGTGCATTATTCCAGAAGGGGATGAACCAACACGTGTTTTCCCGTTGCAGCTCACTTGCTGGTTTGCTTCACCTGCAACGATGCTTCCTCCAACTGGGCCTGTCTGACCCCGGTGGCATGCAGCGACGGGGAAAATCACTGCGTGACGACTTATTTCAGCGCGAGTGTCGGTGAGTCTGGGCCCTTCTTCTTGCCTGGCTTCTGTTTTTTGCTTCCAGCTGGGGTTGCTGCTCCTGGAAACAACGAGACGGGAGGTTTCAGAGGAGGAGCTGCACGCCTTGTGTGGAAGGGGCCACGGAACGGAAGTGTGGTAGCGCCTCCGTGGTCCAGATGCAGGGGCAGGGCCCGGGGGACACGGGAACGGTGTCCCCTTCTCCTCCCTCCGTGGTCCTTAGGGGAGGGAAGAGCAAAGAGGCATCCTGCTTTGGGATTTTCAGCTGCCTATTTGCAACCTCGTCTCCACAACCAGCTTTGGTCAGGGTCCTGGGATGGATTCTCTTCTTCGGCCGTCTCTGAGACCCGGCCACCAAATTGGCCTGCATCTTCGAGGAAGAGGTTTTTTGACTAAGGATACTGATTTTTGCCCTGCAGCGATGCTGGTACTAGCCCCTGCTCTGAGCCCAGCCCCCGGCTTATTTTGGTATGTCGGGTATTGTGCTTTTTAGGCTACAAACATGTTGCGTGACATGAACCATCTTACCCCAGGTCAAAGTGCAATTCTCCCGTTGTCCCGGGATAAATCCAGAAAGGGTTCATGGGAGAAGAAGTACTAACAGTTCCTCCCGGGACACTGCACAGTCTGTCTGGACTGTTATCCTGGGACTACACTGAGTCGATGGCAGAAAGGTGGCAGTGCATTTGGGCACCCACTAAACCCCGATGTGTGTACGGATCAATCCCAGGAGATTTCTGTTCTGGGATAAACCCAGCCACAATTTGCCCAAATGCAGTGTCTGTTCCTAACCTTAGTTGTGCATGAGGGTTTGAAGTGGGGATTTTGGGGAGTCCTTGTCCTAACAATAGCCTGCAAGTGCAATAGCCTGCACGTGCAAGTGCAATAGCCTGTAAGTGCAATAGCCTGCAAGTCCTAACAACAGCGTGCAAATGCAATAGCCTGCAAGTGCAAGTGCAATAGCCTGCATGCGCAAGTGCAATAGTTTGCACTTGCAAGTGCAATAGCCTGCAAGTCCTAACAATAGCCTGCAAGTGCAATAGCCTGCAAGCGCAAGTGCAATAGTCTGCAAGTGCAATAGCTTGCAAGTGCAATAGCCTGCAAGTCCTAACAATAGCGTGCAAGTGCAATAGCCTGCAAGCACAAGTGCAATAGCCTGCAAGCGCAAGTGCAATAGTCTGCAAGTGCAATAGCTTGCAAGTGCAATAGCCTGCAAGTCCTAACAATAGCCTGCAAGTGCAATAGCCTGCAAGTCCTAACAATAGCCTGCAAGTGCAATAGCCTGCAAGTCCTAACAATAGCCTGCAAGTGCAATAGCCTGCAAGTCCTAACAATAGCCTGCAAGTGCAATAGCCTGCAAGTCCTAACAATAGCCTGCAAGTGCAATAGCCTGCAAGTCCTAACAATAGCCTGCAAGTGCAATAGCCTGCAAGTCCTAACAATAGCCTGCAAGTGCAATAGCCTGCAAGTCCTAACAATAGCCTGCAAGTGCAATAGCCTGCAAGTCCTAACAATAGCCTGCAAGTGCAATAGCCTGCAAGTCCTAACAATAGCCTGCAAGTGCAATAGCCTGCAAGTCCTAACAATAGCCTGCAAGTGCAATAGCCTGCAAGTCCTAACAATAGCCTGCAAGTGCAATAGCCTGCAAGTCCTAACAATAGCCTGCAAGTGCAATAGCCTGCAAGTCCTAACAATAGCCTGCAAGTGCAATAGCCTGCAAGTCCTAACAATAGCCTGCAAGTGCAATAGCCTGCAAGTCCTAACAATAGCGTGCAAGTGCAATAGCCTGCAAGCGCAAGTGCAATAGTCTGCAAGTGCCCAGAGACCCTCTTCCTGCCCTGGTTCCTATGCCTAGCGTCGCAGCAATGACCGCAGCAGTTGGGCATCCTTGACAAACAAGAACCCACTGAGATTAATTAGCAGGAAGCGCATTCCCCATTGCTCACGCTCCTTTAGCTCCTTCAGTACAGTGGTCCCCCTGCTTACACCAAGTGACCTGAACTCCAGGGGACTTTTTAACCTTAATTCTCTCTCTTTCCTCCGGTGAAGGCAGCCAATCTGGGCAGACCATCTCCAAGGGCTGTGCATCCATCTGCCCAAACGCTGGGATTAACCTCGGGATTGCGGCGGCCTCCGTGACGTGCTGCGATTCCTTCCTGTGCAACATCAGTGGGGCCAGCGGCGTGAAAGCCAGTTACACTGTGATGGCCACGGGCATCCTGGCCAGCATCATCTATATCCTCCAGGTCGGCGTGTAACGGGGCCTGGGAAGAAAGGATTTGCTGCCCTGAAGAGCCCGAGCTCCCCCAGTGAGGCATCAACCACCCGCTCTGCGCAAAGCTCTCTCAAGGTGTGGCCACCTATGGTGCCCTTTCTTCCAAGTACTATCCCAGACCCAATATAGCCAATATTTCCTCTCTCACTGTCTGCCTTGTTGACCAGGTGCCCCACTTCGCGGCTCAGCAGATCTAGAAAGTTGCCTCGTCTAATTCTGGCGCTAGAGATTTGGGAAGCTCAGATGGATAAAGGCCTCCCCACCTCCCACGGACAAACCCAGCTGCACCTACCAGGAAATGGTGGAGGATGCTGTGGTGGGGTTTTTAACCCATCTTCCCAGGTGATAGGGCTCGTTCAACTGTAGTTGGACTCACAGGGAAAAAGTTTACCGGGTACTGTCTCGGACGGCTAGAGCCGACTCGAGGTGATTTAGAAACTGCTCGTTCGTCAGGGCGGGCTGGTGAATGGAGAGGCAGACAAGGTTTAATGGCTGCAAAAACTTTTACTTACGCCGCTTGTAGTTGCGACGCAGATGGTCCCGTCGTCTGAACAACTATGCGAGTTGTTCCAGCTGGCGAGGCCCGAGCCAGTTAATCCGTCTGCAGGTTAAGCCAGCAGGAAAAGGGTATGTCTGGGATTGCGCTCGGCAACGGGAAGAAGGATCGATCGGTGATCAGTCTATCGATCAGCTAGCCGCGAGTCAGATCTCTTTAGAGGCACTCTGCAGCGTGCTCAAAGTTCTTCGACTTGGGCGGAAGTCGCACGAGCAATTTGCTCGCCGCACCGTGGGAATAATTGGGGGTTAGCCAATAGCGGGACACAAATTTGCAGTCGAATGGCGGGAACTCTCTTGCACCAGGGGTTTTCTGCTGCAACAGAAAACCTTTGCTTTTGCAAGAGGCTCTCATGTGGCGGGAAAATTCCACCGTGCCGAGGCACCAAAATCACTGGGTTGTGACTGGTACCTTCCCAAGCGGGATGCCGCCGCGGCGGAGATGTTTCCACGCGATGGATCTGTACAAATGCCAAATACCAGGAATGCATGATTGTCATGCAAACCCAGCGCCCGTCTCCCTGCCCCTCTCTTCCCCTCTCCCCAGGCAGCTGGATTCTGCTGTTTTCTAGATCGTTTCCTCTAACCCTTGGCTAACGTTTCTTCTATAGACAACGGATGAGCTGTATCATGTCCCACTGCACCTATGCGGGCACTAGGCCTGAATAAACCCCTTTCCTGTTGTTGTCTGACCCCGGATGCGTCGT